TTTAAAAAAAAACAAATAATGATCGAAAATTGCATATACCTATGAATAGTTCAACTTAAATCAAAATTTTTTTGAAAATTTTATAGTGTATAGAATATAATTGAATAAACATTCAGTGAAAATTTCATGTATCTGTGGTCATTTGTTTTAATGTTACATCAAAAACCCAAAACCGATTTTGTCGAAAATTGATTGTGCATAAAATATCCCGTTTTTCCCTTAATTTTTAGTTTGTTTATCCCGATTATTTAGAAAAATATTAAGACATTTTTACTTTTGATTCTCCAAGTACCAACTAGATTCACTTTCTGATCAAACGAAGTATTGAAGTCAAAAATCGAAGCACTTTTTCTGCCCAAAAACGTGATGACAGACACAAAAAWATAAAAATAAAAATAAAAACACACTCGGTAAAATCAATACATTGATCGCTCCGCTCAGAATCTAAAATGTAATTAACTTGTATAAMATGTCATGTTCATAATAAATGAGAGTGATATATGTGTGCTTCTTTTTTTATATGCGAACAGTGACACGACGGTAATAAAGACGACGACCAACGGTTTTGGGGATAGCCAGAGTCGAATAGAAATTTGTCAATAYATGTAAATGTCACAGGAACGGCGGAGAGGGATCGAAAAGAAGAGAATTAAGGTGCACTCTGTAATCGGTATTAATCACATCATAAACCTTTGGACACCAATCCCCCCGCGCCATGCGTATAAATACGTTGGTGATGGAATGCGTGGCGTGAGGCTCGTCTGGTGCAACATTTTAAAATTGTGAGGGATTTAATTGTGGTGAGCGGGAGCTAATGATGCCGGGGATCATGGTTTAATGAAGCTCGGTAGCGTTAGATTAGTGGTGGCGTATGGATTGGCCGGCGGAAGGGGGCTGGCATCAACATTGCGTTATGCTGAGGTAATGGTAGGGTAACATACGATGTAACGGTCCCACCGCGTCTGTGCGCAACCAACGTCACYAGCGTTTGTAGTTAAGAGTTGTTTTTTCTGTGTGTTAACGCTTCTTGTAGAGTTGATATTTTATTCGTGTGTATATTTGGTTGTTTTGTTTTGTCTGATCACGCAAATACACATTAGCCCCCGTCCAAAGTGTAATAACAATATTTTTGTACGCTTTGAGAACGGCGGTTTATATTTATTTCCACGTGTGTGTGCATGCAAACTTCCTTTCAGCAACAGGTACAATCAGACCAGATGCTCTTGACGCCACCACATTTGTAACAAACGCCGTAGTTGGTGGTCGAGTTTAACAATTTTTCATGCATTTCGCATAAAAGGTAAGTGCCTAGTCAATGTTTTGTTATTTATCTTTCAGTGAATTAGCTTAATTAAATTTGAAATATAATAGAACATTTTTATTCATTTTTTTTAGGTATCCCTTCGAATGGATAATCTTTATCGGTAATATGCTTCGGTAGATATTGGATACAATTATCGGATTATGGAGAAAATAAAACATTTTTTAAAAATAATATCAACAAATAATTTTTTAAAAGCATTTTCAAGAAAATATACAAAAGTTGTAATTATAAATTGTTTGCGTTCAATTCATCACACATTAGATGGAATATAAAATATTATAAGTAGGTATATATACTATTAATCATTAACTAATSTTTCTTAAAACCTTAATCACATAAATAATTTTTACAATCAGAATTCTTTTTAAAATTTAATTTTTGCTAGATCGTGAGCAGTAACCTTCACATTTGGTTTATCTATACATGAAGTAGAAAATAAAATCTTATGCTTCATAATATAAGGATTGCATGTTTTTAGTGGTGAGTTCCTAGGTTTCTGTTATATTTCACATAGTTATAATAAAAATATTAATTTTCAATTTTATAAATACATTCTTATTTTATTTAACCTATCAACATATTTGAGAATTTTAATTTAAAAAAGGCGGGTAAGTCGTGGATGCCGCTCTGCTGTACAGTAGGTTACTAGTGGGTTACTGTAATGGATGGAATTAAATTTGAATCCAATGATATTATATCATTGTATACGAAAAACGATTCTGAGCGAAGACGGTTTATCTGTCTA